CACACACACACACACACACACACACACACACACACACACACACACACACACACACACACACACACACACACACACACACACACACGGAGCGAGAGCCAGCAGCCAGAGAGAGGGATCCGGACAAACTATATGTTCGTGTGGGCCAACTGGTGCTGGCCGACGCCTGTGCATCAGGGAGCTCAAGATCAGGGCTTCCTAACCTCTCGCTGGACTCGTCGCCTTATTTTCTAATGTTCGGAAGACCTGCCACCTTCCTGCCATACACTCTTTCGTAATTGAAAATATTTGCCTAATGAGGATATGCAGCACTTGCTATTTCTGGATGGTTCAGGTATACTGGTACTCAGAAATTAGGCTCAGCGACCCACCTCAAAACAAGGAAAGGGTTCGGGGGGGGGGGCAGGTCGTGACCCACCGGTTGGGAACCAATGGTCAAGATGTTGTTAACGTGTTATAAACAGGTTTTGGACGACCTGTAAACCTTGTTGAGTTTCCACGTACGATAAACAAGGTGTGCCAACCTTGGTTAGACCCCGTTGGTATATTCATCACAAGGACACTCTTGCTCACACGCCAGGGCGGTATTGTTTAGTGACGTCACTTGACCACCACAGTCAAGGCCACAGTGGTTGGCCGCCGTCGACCGTCTTCACACTACCTGGTGTTCTCCGGCATTTTGCTTCATTGTTGCGGACACAAAGCTTCTCCAGATCAATATTTGCGAATTCATTACCGCGAGAGACAGAGCGGACACTTCGTATTTCACCTAAATGTTTGCCAGGCTGACAATATCGCACATGTTTACCTCTAAGGTTAGCCAGGCACCTTCTGCCCATGTACTTACGGGGAAGAGGGAGGGGGTGTTTATAACCTGCATGCTACCATGTTATACCTGGTGAGTTATACCTGGTGAGTTATACCTGGCGCGTCATCAAGACACCTTCATAGCCTCCGCCTCTGTACTAGCCACTCTCAAACATGTTGTCTGCTTCATGCTACAGTTGCTCTTATTTTTTATGGCTAATTATTTCAGCTTCCTGGTGGAGCGGCTCTTGTCGCTGAGGCATGAACCTGGTTAATGAGGTTCTGGGAGTTCTTCTACTCCTCAAGCCCGGCCAGAGTAGGTACTCTGAGAGAGAACTCTATCAACATCAGAGGCCCGAGACTGTTCAACACGCTTCCGCTACACATAAGGGGCATAACTGGCCGACCCCTCACAGTGTTCAAGAGAGAACTTGATAAACACCTCCAAAGGATACCTGATCAACCAGACTGTGACTCATACGTCAGGCTGTGAGCAACCGCGTCCAACAGCCTGGTTGACCAGTCCAGCAATCAGGTATGGCCTGGTTGGGGACCGGACCGCGAGGACGCTAAGCCCCGAAATCATTGCAAGGTAACCACAGAGTAAGCCAAAGTTTGTATCAGCTCACCGATGAGCCAAAGTTTGTCTCAGCTTGATGGTGATCATCCAGTCCGTCTTCCTAAGATTTCCCAATGTCAAGAAAACAGTTAATTTAAAGTGCCCTCTCTTGCGAATCTTGCTTACCCTCTCCTAACCTACCAGAGGACCCAAAACAGAAAACGGGACAGTACGTCACTTTCGCCAGCCGCTTCCATTTTCTAGTACGACAATATTTGGCCTTATGTAACGCATACGAACGATATGCGACGTCCTCTGTAGGAGGACAGGTGGGAGCATCTTAACGTGAAGGTCACCGAGGCCGGGCTCGGGGAGTAGCAGAACTCCCGACGCACACTCCAGGTATGTCACCTTGGAAAGGGGGGGAGGGAGGGGGGCCAATATGGTGAGAAGTTGGGTATAAAATAGGTTGTTGTTGTCGTTATTATTATTGTTGTTTTTAGGAGTGAGGACGGCACCTGGGCTCGGTGTGCCCCGGCGGTGCTGTGATGAGGAATAATACAAAGCTTTGCGGCTAATCGTCGACTGTCGGCGGAAGACTACTGTGTCTTACGGCAGATAAACACGTTGTGAGGCAGATGCTTGGAGACCCTACCCGGGGGAGGCGGTGGACGGTCCCATCGCACACAACCCAGCTGGGACGCTACCAACACCCTCTCACCCCAGACGATAAGGCATCAGACGCCCTGTAACTCCAGGTAGTGGACCAGAGTCTCGGCCTTACGGAATAATAGCGATAACCCGTCCTAAACACAAGCCCAGTTGGGCAATAATGCCAAACATCTTCCAGTGAAGACTGACAGACCGCACTGCCTGTGCCCCTCTCTCTTCTCTAGTGGCTCTGGTCTACTATTGTTACCCCACTAGAGTTAGCTGTGTCCCATACTCATCCTTCTGTTACCTCGTGGGCTTGACTGCCCCAAATTAGCCCCCCACCGTGGCGTCAGAGCTCGCTGCAGTTCACAACAGCAAGCTCCGTCAAAACGTTATCTGCTGAAAATACTTGTTTATAGTTGCTTACCGAGAGGCTTGCTTGAGTATGGTTACTTTCCCTACGTCAAGCACGCACCCGCTCGTATTATAGTAGGGAATATACTATACTTCCTCTTCCCTCGTGACCCAACCGCTTAGATGGGTCGGTACAGTAGCGGTTCTTGCAGGTCGGCGATCAATCCCCGATGGTCCAAGTTCCTTCCTCCGTTCCATACCAGCTCCTAATCATATCCCTTCCAATTGCTTTGTAGTCGTATTTCTCGTCATAACTACTTCATTATCTATATATATGTCGTACCAAGTAGCCAGAACGCACTTCTCAGCCTACTATGCAAGGCCCGATTTGCCTAATAAGCCAAGTTTTCATGAATTAATATATTTTCTCTAATTTTCTTCTTATGAAATGATAAAGCTACCTATTTCATTATGTATGAAGTCATTTTTTTTTATTGGAGTTAAAATTAACGTAGATATATGACAGAACCTAACCAACCCTACCTAACCTAACCTAACCTATCTTTATAGGTTAGGTTAGGTTAGGTAGCAGAAAAAGTTAGGTAGTCTAAAAAACATTAATTCATGAAAACTTGGCTTATTAGGCAAATCGGGCCTTGCATAGTAGGCTGAGAAGTGCGTTCTATCTACTAGGTACGACATATATATATATATATATATATATATATATATATATATATATATATATATATATATATATATATATATATATATATATATATTAATATATATAATATATATATATATATATATATATATATATAATGACATTATATATATATATATATATATATATATATATATATATATATATATATATATATATATATATATAATGAGTGTCAGACCACGAAGGAAGAATTGAAATCTTCCTTCGTGGTATGACACTGTCACATTTTTCATCACGTGTTAATCTAAACCTTCTTAGTTCAATACAGTGATGCTCCCGCGTGCTTGCTGTCGTTTTTACACATACAATTATGTAACCCATCTCACTTATTCTTTCTGACACATGAAACTCTGATTTACATGTCTCGTTTCACTCGCAAAAAGTAACTAATGGGAAAAAGAGACAGAACTTGTGTGAAGGAGGCCGTAAAGCTCTAGGCATAAAAAGCTCCAAAGCTTACGTTGCACAGCAATATGGATAACACAATCACGTCTAGATAACAGACTGGTTCTTGCCAAGTTCTGATTCAGTCACCCACACGGGCCTGACCTTAAGACGCACTTGTCTAGCAAATGCCAGAGAAGCTGGCAGGTGTTGTTGCAGCAGGAGTCATACCTCAGGGAGTAACTGCAGGTGTCAGGCCAAGGGTAAATATATAACCCCATTTTAGCATCTCATTATTCGGCTGGATAGTGCCACCGACGCGGACTGTTGACTGGCGGAGAGTGGGAGCTCACAGGCACAGGCAACCTTGCAACAACGAAAGGCTCTTGATTGTTCTCTCTTTAAAATGGGGAGAGGGGAGAGCCCGCTCAATAGCCGTTTGATTTGCTCTTTACATTGGCTGGAATGTTTGGCTGTTGTGACTTTTGCTACACAAAAGCTGTGAAGTTTGTGCGCGCATGTTGATAGCCCTGGCGCTGCTGGTCCTGTCTATAGCCTGGCGCTGCTGGTCCTGTCTGTAGCCCTGGCGCTGCTGGTCCTGTCTATAGCCTGGCGCTGCTGGTCCTGTCTATAGCCTGGTGCTGCTGGTCCTGTCTATAGCCTGGCGCTGCTGGTCCTGTCTATAGCCTGGCGCTGCTGGTCCTGTCTATAGCCTGGCGCTGCTGGTCCTGTCTATAGCCTGGTGCTGCTGGTCCTGTCTATAGCCTGGCGCTGCTGGTCCTGTCTATAGCCTGGTGCTGCTGGTCCTGTCTATAGCCTGGTGCTGCTGGTCCTGTCTATAGCCTGGTGCTGCTGGTCCTGTCTATAGCCTGGTGCTGCTGGTCCTGTCTATAGCCTGGCGCTGCTGGTCCTGTCTATAGCCTGGCGCTGCTGGTCCTGTCTATAGCCTGGCGCTGCTGGTCCTGTCTATAGCCTGGTGCTGCTGGTCCTGTCTATAGCCTGGCGCTGCTGGTCCTGTCTATAGCCTGGTGCTGCTGGTCCTGTCTATAGCCTGGCGCTGCTGGTCCTGTCTATAGCCTGGCGCTGCTGGTCCTGTCGATAGCCTGGCGCTGCTGGTCCTGTCTATAGCCCTGGTGCTGCTGGTCCTGTCTATAGCCTGGCGCTGCTGGTCCTGTCTATAGCCTGGCGCTGCTGGTCCTGTCTATAGCCTGACGCTGCTGGTCCTGTCTATAGCCTGGCGCTGCTGGTCCAGAAAATAATAAAGTAAGTGAACGTAGCTACATAATACCATTAATCTACTAATAGCTTATATATATATATATATATATATATATATATATATATATATATATATATATATATATATATATATATATATATATATATATTTATATTTATATTTCTTACATTCTTGTACATTAAGCTACTTAATAGCCCTGCAAATCTCCCAGGGTAGCGGACCACTGTTGCTTCACAAGACTACCACTAACGCATGTTCCTCTCTCTCACCTGCAGGAGACATCACGCAGAAGGGCTATGAGAAGAAGAAAGCGCGCCTCCTCCATCCATATGTCATCAAGGACCCCGGCCATGGTGAGTGTTGTGGTGGGAGCCCTCTGGGGGCCCTCTGTGGAACCCTCTGTAGGCCCTCTGGGAAGCCCTCTGGGGGCCCTCTGGGGGCCCTCTGGGGAGCCCACTGGGAGCCCTCTGGGAGCCCTCTGGGGGCCCTCGGGGAGTGGACGGAGGGCCCCGTCTACCAGATGGTCAGTCAACCTTCTGAAAGGCAGCGGCGATTCTCTCGGGCTTTTGAACCATTTTTGCATTTGCTAATTTTGACCTTTTGAGAATTCCGAGTTAAAATGTTTGGCAGAGTGGCGTTCCTTGTGGAATATGAATGGCGGAAATGTAACAGAGGACCAAGCACTCGAATAACATTAATATTCAGCGCTTGGTGTTCCTTATGGCGACCATTTCTACATACTCTCTACTCTAGTGCAGTGCCGCTGGCACACGCTAGATGGCAGCTCTAACAGCTTTTGGTGTTTTTACGGGCTATTCATGTCCATGCCACCTCTTGGGTGGCTTAATCTTAATCAATCAATCTATTGGTGTTTTAGAACACATGACAACACCGAAGATGTGGGGAGGGGGGATTTTCAGCGATATTAGGACAGTAGAATAAGGGTTCTGTCGTGTTGGCAGAAGTTTAGTCCACTTGACAGTACCTGAAGCCCTCTTGACAGTAGCTGTAGTCCACTTGACAGTAGCTGTAGTCCACTTGACAGTAGCTGTAGTCCACTTGACAGTAACTGTATAAACATCAGAGGTCCACGGTTGTTCAACATCCTCCCAGCGAGTAAAAGAAATAATGCCGGAACAACCGTGGACATCTTCAAGAGGAAACTAGATAGTTTTCGCCAAGGAGTGCCGGACCAACCGGGCTGTGGCGAGTATGTGGTCCTGCGGACCGCTCCAAGCAACAGCCTGCTGGACCAAGTTATCACAAGGCTCGGGGAATAGAACTCCCAAAACCCTCTTCAGGTATGCTCCAGGTACCTCTGACAGTAGCTGTAGTCCACTTGACAGTAATTGTAGTCCTCTGACAGTAGTTGTTGTATAGTTGTAGTCGTGTGGATAATAAGGAATACAATGGGGGAATCTTGTGTACCACGGAGCCAAGACAGACAGTTCTGGCTCCAACCCGTCCTCGACAACCCACCAAGTGTTCGACAACCCACCAAGTGTTCGACAACCCACCAAGTGTTCGACAACCCACCAAGTGTTCGACAACCCACCTAGTGTTCGACAACCCTTCAGGTGTTCAAAACTTACGAAGAATTCAAGAATCCAACAAGGAACGCCACTCTGCTGCCCCCAGCTTGACCTCTTGTTAAGGGAATATTTAAGTACCAGTAACTGCCCTCCATTATAAACTTTCCCCCTACTAATTTTGCCGCTGATGTTCAGATATATTGTGCGCTCTCCCAGACCTTAATAAATATTCCCTTTGCGGAAGTAAAATCTAGATTATAGTTATTTTAATTACATATATTATGAAATGTTGACTTTGATGGAATAATATATGATAGGCTTTTTGTACAGTTATACAATGTGTATTTTTAATTGCTATTATTTAATATAAGGTTTTACTTTCCTGATTAAGAGTTGCCCCCGTTAGTACAACCAAACATACCATCACATGGTGCCAATTCTAACATTTTCCATTTCTGTTTTCCATTTAACATAGCTTCTCTTGGCCATATGTTATACGTGTGTATCTGGCTGGCCCGCGGCCTGCCTCAGTGCGCAGGCCAGCGGTGAGGCAGGCGCGGTACAAGCCTGCCCCCACCCCCCCCTCCCCAACCCCATCACTGGCGGTGCCGGGGCAGCCCACACTAACGGGGGCGTGCTCCTGTGCACCTCCCCCCCCCACATCCCTCCCTCCCCACGTGTGTGCGTGTGTGCTAACCGCTAACGTGGTGGCGTGGTTGACTACTAACGCCTCTCCCTGCATGTGCAGCCTCCCACCAGGCAGCACTGCACGCGCAACACTCCAGCGGCGCCAGCAGCCGCAGCCGCCGCACTGAACATCGCAGCGTCACCACTCACGAGCGGCGCTACCTCTCAGGTACCTCCCGCCCGCCCTCACGCCCTTGCTGCGCCTCCCCCCGCCCGCCCTCAACCCCCTGCAGCGCCTCCCCCCGCCCTCAACCCCCTGCAGCGCCTTCCCCCGCCCACCCGCCCGCCCTCAACTCCCTGCAGCGCCTCCCCCCACCCGCCCTCAACCCCCTGCAGCGCCTCCCCCCGCCCTCAACTCCCTGCAGCGCCTCCCCCCGCCCTCAATCCCCTGCAGCGCCTCCCCCCGCCCTCAACCCCCTGCTGCTCCTCCCCCCGCCCGACCCGCCCACCACACACATCTCTGCCACATTCGCTGTGTAACTAATACTGTCCACGCCGTGTGGACAAAGATGGTCTGACTAAATCGATGTTTGTCAGTTGTGGTGGAAAGCGAGAAAGTGCAGTTGTGCTGTAGTGGGTGGTGGTGGGCGGCGTGGGAGGAGGAGGGCCAGGGTCCAGCATGTAATGAGGACCATCCAGCTACTAACATGTCTCTGTTGTATATGTAGTTTATTCGCTATAAGGTGCCTCTCCCCCCCCCCTTTCACCTTCGTGGCACCGACAACACCCCCCACTCTACCCCCCCCCCACTGTGTGTCCTCTCGCAGCGCCCCCTCCCCCCCCCCCCCCCCCCCCCCCGTGTGTACACTGGCGGTAGTGAGGCTGTGAAGCAGCACCCAGAATTCCTCACCTGTTGCCTCTACTCACCTCACAGTCCATCCTCACTTTGCACCTCTCTGTAGCTATTCTGTACTGTAACCATCTTGTAAATTGGCACTGTACATAATGTCTATACACTGTAATTAGTGTCAAGGGGGATTGCATCTTACAAAAAAAGAAGTTGTCATAGCTAAACTATTTATTGTTTAAGTTATACATGTAGAGAGTGACTCACTGCCTCCACACCTCTCACTCCACTTGTTAAGTGCCTCACCTCTCACTCCACTTGTTAAGTGCCTCACCTCTCACTCCACTTGTTAAGTGCCTCACCTCTCACTCCACTTGTTAAGTGCCTCACCTCTCACTCCACTTGTTAAGTGCCTCCACACCTCTCACTCCACTTGTTAAGTGCCTCACCTCTCACGCTTTACCGGGTGAAAATCCTCCTCACCTGTAAAACTTTATTACATATCAACTTTTGTACATAACCTTTCGTCTCCAGTAAACTTTATGCCTTACCTCTAAACCTTCCTCTTCTTGGACACTTGTGTGGATACTCGTGTGTATGTGTACCCGCGTGTGTCACCCCGGGACACTCGCTGATGTGTTGAGGTAGAGTGACTAGTGTGGCTGCGCGGCGCCTCTCACTCGTACACTGCCCGAGGTGCAGGCTCCTCTCCCTCAGGCCACAAGGCTCGCGCTTCACTCCTGTAACTTGTCGGCATTCTTTTTATTTCTCGTTTCCCACAACTATCGTCCTGTGAGTAAACTCCTCAGTGTACACCTCTCAGTGTATACCTCTTCAGTGTATACCTCTCAGTGTACACCTCTCAGTGTATACCTCTCAGTGTACACCTCAGTGTATACCTCTCAGTGTACACCTTTCGGTGTACACCTCATTGTATACCTCTCAGTGTATACCTCTCAGTGTACACTTCTCAGTGTATACCTCTCATATATTCACAGTTCTATGCCCTCGAGTTTTACTTTTGTGCTGTTAGAAGCTTATAAGACGTTGTGTTCTCAAGTCTGATACTTTGTGGTCTTCATACATGTATCCTGGCTTGATCAAGTCTTCATACATGTATCCTGGCTTGATCAAGTCTTCATACATGTATCCTGGCTTGATCAAGTCTTCATACATGTATCCTGGCTTGATCAAGTCTTCATACATGTATCCTGGCTTGATCAAGTCTTCATACATGTATCCTGGCTTGATCAAGTCTTCATACATGTATCCTGGCTTGATCAAGTCTTCACACATGTATCCTGGCTTGATCAAGTCTTCATACATGTATCCTGGCTTGATCAAGTCTTCATACATGTATCCTGGCTTGATCAAGTCTTCATACATGTATCCTGGCTTGATCAAGTCTTCATACATGTATCCTGGCTTGATCATGTCTTCATACATGTATCCTGGCTTGATTAAGTCTTCATACATGTATCCTGGCTTGATCAAGTCTTCACACATGTATCCTAGCTTGATCAAGTCTTCACAGATGTATCCTGGCTTGATCAAGTCTTCATACATGTATCCTGGCGTGATCAAGTCTTCATACATGTATCCTGGCTTGATCAAGTCTTCACACATGTATCCTAGCTTGATCAAGTCTTCACAGATGTATCCTGGCTTGATCAAGTCTTCACAGATGTATCCTGGCTTGATCAAGTCTTCATACATGTATCCTAGCTTGATCAAGTCTTCATACATGTATCCTGGCTTGATCAAGTCTTCACACATGTATCCTAGCTTGATCAAGTCTTCCCAGATGTATCCTGGCTTGATCAAGTCTTCATACATGTATCCTGGCTTGATCAAGTCTTCATACATGTATCCTGGCGTGATCAAGTCTTTATACATGTATTCTGGCTTGATCAAGTCTTCATACATGTATCCTGGCTTGATCAAGTCTTCATACATGTATCCTGGCGTGATCAAGTCTTCATACATGTATCCTGGCGTGATCAAGTCTTCATACATGTATCCTGGCTTGATCAAGTCTTCATACATGTATCCTGGCTTGATCAAGTCTTCATACATGTATCCTGGCGTGATCAAGTCTTCATACATGTATTCTGGCTTGATCAAGTCTTCATACATGTATCCTGGCTTGATCAAGTCTTTCCCGAGTCTGTCAGCTAGTTATCTGTGACATATAATTCCTGACTCTCGTAGCCTAGTTAGCAGACTTTCTAGGTCTACATCCCTTCAGAACAAACTTTACAACCCCATTTCATTATATTAATCTTCCCTTCTTTCCAACTATTTAGTTGAAAAAATATTTGCTCCGGCATTTATTTATTTTTGTCATTACTGGCTATACTCTTAGTTGTTCCCTGTGTCAGCGCCGCCGCTGTGCTGCAGTAGCACGCTAGATACGCGGCGGCCAGCTACCTACTTTTGTGCCAGAAATAATACTTCATTCAGGAGCAGCCATTCCTTCCTGTCCAGTGGTGTGAGGCCTTAAGATGCCTGAGCGGACGACTGACTCATTCCACTGTTGTAGCCCAATACTCTGGGGAGCAGCGTGTGTGTGTGTGTGTGTGTGTGTGTGTGTGTGTGTGTGTGTGTGTGTGTGTGTGTGTGTGTGTGTGTGTGTGTGTGTGTGTGTGGCGCCCGCATCCCGGCAATATTTTTATGTTCAGCTCCAACTTTTCATTCTGAGTTTTCTCTAAGATATCTCTGTGAAGGAAAGATGAAAGGAATATGTTAGAGGTACACTGTATGGAGCATTGTGGCTACACTGTATGGAGCATTCTGGCTACACTGTATGGAGCATTGTGGCTACACTGTGTGGAGCATTCTGGCTACACTGTGTGGAGCATTCTGGCTACACTGTATGGAGCATTCTGGCTACACTGTGTGGAGCATTCTGGCTACACTGTGTGGAGCATTCTGGCTACACTGTGTGGAGCATTCTGGCTACACTGTGTGGAGCATTCTGGCTACACTGTGTGGAGCATTCTGACTACACCGTGTGGAGCATTCTGGCTACACCGTGTGGAGCATTCTGGCTACACTGTGTGGAGCATTCTGGCTACACTGTGTGGAGCATTATGATTATACAACCTAACCTGTTTAGATAGTACTTTTTATAACTATGTGCGCCATAGTAAAACATTGACATACTTAACAATTAGATAGTAGAATTTTGTACTATTTACTTCATAGAGTCCGAACAAAATTAAGCTCAAAAACAAACTTAAATATAGCTATACCTCATATAGCACACACATGTACTATATTATACCTCATATAGCACACACATGTACTATATTATACCTCATATAGCACACACATGTACTATATTATACCTCATATAGCACACACGTGTACTATATTATACCTCATATAGCACACACGTGTACTATATTATACCTCATATAGCACACACGTGTACTATATTATACCTCATATAGCACACACGTGTACTATATTATGCCTCATATAGCACACACGTGTACTATATTATGCCTCATATAGCACATACATGTACTATATTATACCTCATATAGGACACACATGTACTATATTATACCTCATATAGCACACACGTGTACTATATTATGCCTCATATAGCACACACGTGTACTATATTATACCTCATATAGCACACACGTGTACTATATTATACCTCATATAGCACATACATGTACTATATTATACCTCATATAGCACACACGTGTACTATATTATACCTCATATAGCACACACGTGTACTATATTATGCCTCATATAGCACACACGTGTACTATATTATGCCTCATATAGCACACACGTGTACTATATTATACCTCATATAGCACACACGTGTACTATATTATACCTCATATAGCACATACATGTACTATATTATGCCTCATATAGCACACACGTGTACTATATTATACCTCATATAGCACACACGTGTACTATATTATGCCTCATATAGCACACACGTGTACTATATTATACCTCATATAGCACACACGTGTACTATATTATACCTCATATAGCACACACGTGTACTATATTATACCTCATATAGCACACACGTGTACTATATTATACCTCATATAGCATGTATTAGGCCTAGGAAGGTTAGGTTGTCTTTGCAACATAGACACAAAACCTTCCAGTGTGTCCAAATTCAGTACTACAGATTTCTAGTTTCTAATTGCGTTGTACGTCGATATATGTACTATGGTCCTCATCGTTACTATAAGTACTACCAAAATAGGAGGATGGGCTGGATTATACTGTATACCTATCCCATCACCCCCATCCCAGATTGTTCCTCCTCACTCCCACCAGCCAGTATACTCTCCTCTCCCACTATCCCTTCCCAGATTGTCCTTCATACTGCG